TCAGACACTACATTTGGTTGTCATCTCTCTTTAGTGTCATACTCTAAATTTGTCTAATGGTTTCTTCTTGATTAGATTCTTTGAAGAGGAATTCTACAAAGGTAATATTGTGTGTTTCCCCTTGGATCTTATGAAGAGACGTGATACGACTTTGTCACACAGTTAGCGATGGTCAGCTTGATAGCTTGGTAAAGGTGATATTTGCCAGATCGCCCTATCTTGATTGTACTGTTTATCCTTTGTAATTAATAAGCAATTTGTGGAGTGGTCCCTAAGACTGTATAAATATCCTGTTCCCCTAAAACTTTTTACCCAATGGTTTTAGCATCCATTGATATATCTTGTCTGAATCAATTATTTACATTGGTGTTGTAAACTGATGACTTTTCTCATTTAAAGAGATTTTCTTTCTTACCCTTGAACTTAGGCACCTATTTATGAATTTATTTTTGGTAACTTGTGGTCTTTTTATTTTCTACATGTCATAAACCATTAATATCATGATTCTTTTTGATGCTAAAAATGTCCCGAACTTGAACAGTTTGAGCACCTACAAGACATTACCTTCTTATATCCCCAACATTTTTTTGTATTTCCTTGCTTCCTCACATTCCAGTGAGATACTACCTTTTTCATTATTATATTTTCATATGCACTTTTGTCTATCTATGAGTTTTATATTCTCTTCCATTGATGTGTTTTTCTATCTATTTATGGACTGATACCACACTGTCTTAATTATAGGAGCTTTATTGTATGTTTTAATATCTGGCATGGCATTTGTTAGAAGAGAGAGCTCATGTTGTGTTCTTACCACACACACACACACACACCCATCAAAGGGGCACAAGGAAACTTTTGGAGGTGGACGAATACGCCTATCACTTTGATTATCATGATGGTTTTATAGGTGTTTGCAAATGTCCAAACTTATCAACCTGTATACATGAAATATGTGAAATTTTTGATATCAATGTATTTCTCAATAAAGCTGTTAACACACTCATGATTGGCAAGTTTTTCGCTTTCCTAATACTGAGAGCAGGTGAAAAGAAAAATCTGAAGCTGGTTGCCATAAACTTCTGTTGTTAAGCACAAGTGAAATGGTCTTTCCTAAATTTTCACCTTTTTCACAATACAGCTGAAAATTGCAGACATCCAGTATTTGCCTCACACACCACTCTGACTAGCATTCTGCACTCTGTATTTTTATTCAGATTATAAACCCGAAAAGACAGTCTTCCACAATGAGGCAAATTCATATCAGCAGCCACCAGGAACATAATTTGGAATGACATAAATTCAGATCAGTGACCGTGAATGAGTTAAAATATCTGCTAAGGTTAGTTACCTCTAATTTTCCTTTTTTATAGAGTTCTCATAGCTATTTTTATATTTATTTTTCCATATAAACTTCAAAATTTACTTGACTAGCTCCATAAAAAACATTATTCTATTGCGATTGCACTAAATGTATTATTAAGATGGTAATACATGATAGCTTTATAATATTTTCTTGTGCTATCCACAAACAAGAAAAGTCTAATTCAAGCCTACTTTTGATCTCTCAGGAGTATTTTAATTTTTCCACTTATAGATTTTACACACTTCCAGTTAACTTTATGATTAAGTAAATTATCTTTTTGCCACTAATGTAACAGATGTTTTTCCAACTAGCCATTGTTTGTGTATAGAAAGACTTCTGAGTTTTGTATTTTAACTTAATAGTCTTTTACCTTACTTTTTTATTGTTTGTGTTAGTATTTTCATTGATTGCCTTGGATTTTCTAGATATGCTACAATAGCATCTGTAAATGAAGATAGTTTCACTTCTATTCCAATTCTTATGACTCTTTTGTTTATCTTGGTTCACTTGAGTTGACTAGTACCACTAACATATTTTTAAATAGTAGCGGAGTTAGTATCTTTGTCTTGTTCTTGGCCTTTCTATGAGGACCTCTAGTATTCTCCATTAAGTAACATCCTACAGTTAGGACAGTGTGTGTGTGTGTGTGTGTGTGTGTGTGTGTGTGTGTGTGTGTGTGTAGTTATAGATATATTAACACTGAAAAAGGAATAATCAGTTCCTGTTTTATTTAGTGTTTTAATCAGGAATGGTTGTCAATTTTTGTAAAAGGCAGTTTCAGCATCTATGAAGATGATCATATGATTTTCTACTTAGAGTTACAAACATGGAAAGTCATGTTTGTAGATTAATATGGAACCACCCTTACATTTTTGGAATAAATATGACTTTTTCATGATATTTTATTTTAATGATGAACTCTTGGGTTGTGTTTGCTAGTATTTTGTTTCTATTTTAATTTCCATATTCATAAGTAAGATTGATGTATAGTTTTTTTTTTTGCACTATCTGTGTAAACTTTAGATGATAATGCAATTCTTGTTCCATAAAAATATGCAATTCTTTTTCCATAAAAATATCTTGTGGCTTTTCTATACTCAGAAATGATTTAAATAGCATTTGGAAATATAAGATCTTTGACAATTTAGGAGAATTCCTCTGTGAAATCTGGTCTTGGTCCTTTTATAATAACCTTCTTCATTTATCCTATGAAAACTGGAAGCCCTCATGTGATTTTGTAAAGCAAAATGTTCCTGTTACCTAAAATAGCTTTACTTTCCTTTACAGAGCTTAAAGTTATATATTCTCAGGGTCTGCCCATGCGTAATCTTCTACCCCAATCCCAATTCCAGCATAGAATCAGTCCCTTACTTTATTATATTTGCTTTCATAGTTTTATGCATATGTCAGGTCACCTTTGTGTTGTAACACACTTGTTTACAGAGACGCTCATTTCTCCAGCCTTTCAAAACAGAGACACTGATTTAATCACACTTAATACTTCAGTCTCCAAAATATTGGTTAGCCCTAATATTGGTATGCAATAAATATATTTTAAATAATAAATTACGGAAGGAAGAAAAAAATGATAAGAGACCAGTCCAGTAGCAACCGTAGTCTCTTAAAGAATATGGATTCTAGATCGAGTACACCGGGGTGTCTCCACCAGTTCCTCACTGGCAAGGGTGTGATATTGGCTGGTTACTTTCTGAGTTTTGTTCTCCTCACCTGTAAAAGATGGGTAAACTTTCATAGAGGTTTTGTATTCAGAACATGTGTAAAACTCCAAGCATTAAGTATGCATGTGCTCCACAGATATCTCTTTCCCTTCCACTCCTCCCTATGGGAAAGCCTGCGTTTTAGTTTTTTGGACAATTCTAGAGAAATCGAGATAGGGCTCTCCCGTCTGTAGGGTCACAGTCCAGGATGCAGCCTTCTGACATCCGCTTCCTCTGAAATTGCCAGTATGGATGAAACTTTTCAGCTCAGGTGAACAACTCCGAGGAAACACAGGGATATATTGTACCTCGAGACCTTCACCCATATTTGTTTTACAGTGGAAAGTTTACATTAGTTTAATGTAGTTAGGAAACTCGTGGGGGACCAGAGTCGAATGCATTGTCTTCTGAACAACAGTTCAGCAGTCTGAATACCTGGGCTTTCTTCCCAGTTCTTGTGCTATTTCCCCAGTCAGCCAACTAATTAAATGGCCTTTGGCCATGACTCTTTCCCTTGAGTCAGCTTTTCTCTCATTTAAAGTGTAGAGATAGGGGGATTTAATTAGCCCAATGCCTGGCACACAGCAAGCACCCAATAAATGTTTATTGAGTCTCAGAGTTATCTTTAGATGAAGGTCACTTTGCTATTACTATTAATTTATGAACATATCAGTAATTCTTGCCCTGATAATATCAACAATGAACAAGAACTTGAAAGAGAAGTTCACTCATAATTTACAGGGTTGTATCATGAGAATTCAGATTTCCAACAACCCACCTATTTTGGCTGTATTCACGATGGGTCTAATGTTCTCAGGCCGTGATTTTACACATAAAGCTGTGATTTTAAACAGTGAAGATCTGCAGAAGTTATCTGGATTTTTCTCCTGCAATACGTGTGCATGTGCGTGCGTGTATGTGTGTGTGTGTGTAAGCCTGAACTAAATATAGAGCCCTTTTCTTTGTGTAAGCTACTTAAGAGAAAGGATATTATCTTTTTAATTTTTATCTCTCCAGCAGAAGTTATTATTGCTAGTCGAATCCCAGAACTGAATATAAATTATGAACAGCTTAAAATCTCCTTAAAAATAAGTTTTTAAAAAAATCGTCCCTGAAATAATGTTTTTACTGACCTTGGACATTTTTCTTAGGTGTTACCACGCTCAACATTTCTTCCTGATGACATATGTGGTGATGATGGCAGGGTGCAGAAAAAGCTTGAGGAAATACACAGAGTGCTGATATTTTACTAAAATGAATGTAGCCCTAATTCGTAATCAGAATTTAATTTTTAAGTAAAAACCTGATTTTCCACTGTCATTCCCTTAAGCCTGGCTCGTTATGGGCCCAAAGCCTGTGTGAATTTACACAGCTGCTTTAAGGCTTTGCGTATTTCCTTGTTTGAGGTTCTTTGATTTTTTCTTAAAGGGGTATTTTTACACTGAAGTAAAACACAACTATTAACGCTAGCCTCAGGGGAAAAAGAAACTAACAAGCCTACAGCTTAAAATGTTTCAATACTTTGCCTTTAAACTCTTGCACACCCATTAGAAATCACAAAAATAAAAGCCACTCACTGCAAAAAGAAAAAAAAAAAAGATTGAGCACCAACTGTCAGGAGTTCAGAAAACCACACAGACGTGCAGGTGTGACTACCAGAGCTGACTTCTGAGTAAAATGGTGCCTTCTCAGCAGCCACTGTTTCAGTGTTTTAGGATCCTTCCTCGGGGACGGGCACCCCTCTATGGCCACGTCACCACAAGATGCAAGGCGGGCGGCAGAACGTTTTCTGTGGGGTACCCAGCCAAAAAGTGAAACAAGTTGCCCACTGACAGAGGCCATTTATAGCAGGCATTCATTTACACGAGCACTAGGCAGCGGCTGAAAGGCAATGCAAGGAAGTCATTTCTCTTTACCTTGCTGGGAGCAACGCTGATCCGGAGAGCCATGTACACATCCTAGGTCAAGGAGGTGATGAAAGCCCCACTCCTTATATCGACGACATCTGGAAGAACAGACAGTTGTCACTGTGAGCTTTCCAATTACTCCTGGAGACTAAGTGTGAGACGCAGTAGTGCAGGATGATTGGATTACACAAAACGAGACAGAAGCCATCTGTGAGCCATGCGTAAGCTGCTGAGTGCCAAAATGAACATCCTTATTAGACGACTGAGCTCTCATCCCATTTGTAGTTTGGTCACATTTGAAGGATGAGTTGATCGTTTTTAGACAGTGCTGCAAATAGGCCGGGACTTGGAATTCTCCCTGGCTGAATGAGTAATTCCTGTCTCATACTTAAATTAGCACCATGGGTTTGTAGCGAGGAGGTCTGGAGACTGTCTCCCAAGGATGCCGCTGCATCCGTGTTGAAGCATGGTCTGTCTTCCCTGTTTCCTTCGCACGGGCCGCAGACTTCTGGGAAAAGAAGTCGTTAGTCCCATTCACATCATGGCAAAGAAATAGAAACATTCTGACTTTACATTAGGAAGCAAAAGGGTTCCCATGCTCTAAAATAGTGGCCACGATGCAGTCGGTGGAATGTCTTCAAGAACTGCTGGCAGCCGGGCTGGGTGGCTCAGCCTATAATCCCGTGCCTTGGGAGGCTGAGGGGAGTGGATGGCCTGAGCCCGCGGGTTCGAGACCCGCCTGGGCAGCGAGACCTCATCTCTGCAATAAATCAAAAAAATCAGCCGGGCGTGGTGGCGCGTGCCTGTAATTCCGGCTACTTGGGAGGCTGAGGCGGAAGGATGGCCGGAGCCCAGCAGGTCGAGGCTGCGGTGGCCGGGAGCGGCCACTGCCCTCCAGTCTGGGCGACCGAGTGAGACCCCAACTCAAAAAAATAAAAATAAAAATAAAAAAAGAACTGCTGGGATGCAGTAGAGCTCTGTGCCACTCCGTGCCCCTAGGCTCCAGGAGCAGCCCTTCATTTACCAAAGTTCATCCCCTCATCATTTGTCTGTCACCAACTTCAGATGGGAGTTTAGCTTTGCCCCGCAATCCTTCTCCCATCAAAACATCTCCTGAGCCTCCATCAAGGGCACATGCTGAATACCTGCCCCCATACATCAAAGCTTGGGTCTGGTGAAGGTGAAAAGAGTGTCTTCAGCAAGTCCAGGGCCTGGTAGTCTGCATCCAGATGTGCTATTGAATTTGACATTCATAATGCACATTAACAACCCTGTCAATGCTCTTTTGTTAACATATCTTAGATGCTTCCTTTAATACGTGGTTGTCTGTCCTGGGATTATATTGGGAGTTCTTGCAAAGAAAGGCTCTTCTGCCTGTCAGGAACTTTGTAACAGCTCCCAGTGTCTGCTTCAGATTTTGGCTCCTGGTAGACCCTCAGTAAATGTTGATTAACTGTCCAAATGGCATGCCTTGTCCTGTTTGAGACAGCAACAGGCCGACATTTCTCCCTAACGAAGGCAGGTTGAGCTCAAAGCCCAGGATAGACAAAGGATTGGGTCCTACTTTCTCTACTCCGAATACTCAGTGTGCAACACAGATTCCGTCTGAATTGTGCAGGTGAATAGTAACTACCCAAAGTGTATCCTCTTAGGAAGTTGGCACTATGCTCATTTTATTTCAACCACTCTACTGCATAAGATATTTAAAAGAAGTATTTTTCTAGAATTACACTGGAAAAAATTAGATAGCCAATAGAGTATATTGGGTGGAGATTGTGTGTGCATGTGTGTATATGCATGTGTATTTACATCTACAGTAGGCATCTTTTTTCAGTCAGTGGTACCACATTGGATTTTTGCATGATTTTTATTTTTTATTAGAGATGAGGTCTCACTCTGTTGCCCAAGCTGATCTTGAACTTCTGGGATCAAATGATCCTCCTGCTTCGGCTTCCTAAGTGCGGGGATTACAGCTATGTGCCACCATGCTCAGCCAATGCATCATTTTAAAAACTACTACTATGATCTATTGTAAGAGTAGGGCACGATAAACACACAAACACACACACACACACACACACACACACACACACACGCGTCATTCAACAGTTTCAATTCTGTTTTCCAAGTTTGTCATTAGAGTGACAAAACATATATATGTGTACATTTTCTATGTGTGTGTGTGTGTGTGTGTGTGTGTGTGTGTGTGTGTCTGTGTGTATTCATTCAGCACACTGATATTAAGGAATAAAATACATAAGACCCTTTATATTCTTGAGTTCTGAATTGTGCTTCTTGACATTTCATCACGTTTTAAAGTATTTTCAGTCCCTCTGTATAATTTGTATCCAGAGTTCTTCTTTGTTAAAAACTAACTGAGCTATCTCTTTTATGGTGGAGACATTCAGAAGCTTCAAGTATTAAAGAAATATTTGCACGATAATAGTACATGATTTATCATTTATTCCTGATAAAATCAGAGAAGAAAATGAGTTCAGATCCACAATTACTCATCTTTAATCCCTGAGCCAGATATGTTTCCAAATTCAGAAAATTTTGTATTTTAGTCAGATAATAGGGTCCATATAATATATATGTCATGCTCGGGGGCCTCTAGAACTTTACTCTGTACTCAGACATTGTTTGAGCAGAAAAATGTGTTTTTTATTTACCACAAGTAGGATAAATAAAAGCTAAATAATTTTATGTCGATTTGGCTTTGCCACCAAATTAATTCAGGTCAGGTAAATTTCTGCTACCTAAGAGCTATAAGAATAATTTTCACAGCTTTTGAGATAAAATAGTTTTCATGGATAAAAATTGTGGAAAAGTACAGATTTAATCATAAAAATCTATAGATTGATGTTTATGACAGGACTCCCATTAAATTAACTTAAATCTGGCCTAAAGTTGCCTCTATACATAGCAAACTGCAACCTAAGTATGTAAACAAACTTGCAACATTATTAAGAGTACACTCTTGCAATAATTGGGTGAGCCCCAGCCAATCACAGCAGCTGAGCTTCAGCCAATCACAGGCTGCCAACAGATCAGAGTATGTCCATATTAGGCAAATGCCGAGCTGTCACCAATCAGGCTCTTTCTATATGGCATTTCCTTGTTCTGTCTATAATTAACTGCCTGCCTGCGGTGTTGGGTGGAGCTCTCTGGCCCTTTCCTGGTTCTGGGGGTAGCCCAATTCTTGAATCCTTCTTTACTGAAGTAAACTCTGTTAAATTTAATTTGTCTCAAGTTCTTCTTTTAACATCCAAAATACAATTTAAAATGATATGGAAAGACAAAGAGCTGCTTCAATGAAGTCAAATTATCCCTAAGAAATCAAATAGTAAAATATATTTGTCCCCAGTTTCAGGATAAAGTAAAGCAGTTTCCCTAAATGCTTTCTGCTTCTTCTTTTATAGCTGGCTTTGCTTTGGAATCATGGTGGTGTATATTTTTAGTTTTACTGATTGTCTCTAGCCCATTTCACCCTTTCAGGACCTTCTACCACATCTTTTGTTCACTGCCTTTTTGAAATTAAAATATTCTACAGGATATCGCTAAATCATAAAAAAATAAGAACAAGCTGACTCTTTTATTTTAGGGAACTGTGGAAATAATGATCAAGTTAGTGTAATTGTTTTTCTTTTTTCTGTTCACAGCTTAATGGAGTTTCCTTTAGGTTTAAGCCCATGTTAAAGAGAAGATATATGTGTCCGCAAATAAGTACATCCTGATTGCATCGTTTCAGATTTGTTGAGTAATAAATTGTGTCTTGAAAGGTAAAATCACAAGAGAAGGGAGTGCCCTAGGTGGTAATGGCACAGCATCAAAAAACAGTTGGTATGGATAGCTAGTTATGATTCTCCAAACCCTTTTTAGATGGCAATTTTCTTTTTCTTTTTATTTTTTTATTAATCAATATTTTTTATTATGGTTTTGTGGGGTACAGTTAAGAGTTAGGTGTACAATTACGTTTCATTCAGGCACCCTGTTGATAAGAGGTGTTTTCCCATCCCCAGACAGAAATTTGCTACTGTTAATCCCATCCCCCTCCCCCCCATTAGATGGCAATTTTCATAATCCCTCTCATAAACCTAATCAAGGGCTACTAATAACTGCAAAGGTGGACATGGGTTTCAGTACCTCATTTTACCTACTTTTGGGTCACTTAACCATATGCTGCATCTCATCGTAGGTATTATAGAGCAGAGAAACACTAAGACTACATGGATAAGTACTGGCAGATATATATATGCATTGTATCAACTTGAAATAATGCTAGGAAAGAAAGGTACACATTAAAGCAAATGCAATGATCACAGGGTAAAAAATAAATATTGAATGATAAAGTTCAGTCCTAACTCAAAGGTCATGAATTGGATTTTCAATAGGAAGAGAAGATAGAGTGGTGGGAAGAAAAGAGGGCATTCAGATAAGAGAGACACGAATTCAAAGACAGTGAGTCCGAGTCAATGAGATCTGCTTTGCAAGAGAATGAGGTATAAGAAGGACGCAGGGGTCAGACTCAGTGGCTCAGCCTGTCATCCCAGCACTTTGGGAGGCCGAGGCGAGAGGATTGCCTGAGCCCGCAGGTTCGAGACCAGCCCTAGCAACTTGGCGAGACCGTGTCTCTACAATAAATCAAAAATTAGCCGGGTGGGGCAGCACGTGCCTGTAGTTCTGGCTCCTTGGAAGGCTGAGGTGGAAGGATTGCTGGGGCCCAGCTGGTCGATGCTGGGGGGGGCGTGAGGGTGCCACTGCACTCCAGCCTGGGAGATGGAGTGAGACTCCAACCTCCAACTCAAAAAAAAAAAAAGGAAAAAGAAGAATGCAGGGTTGGAATGTTGATTGGTGGAAGCCTCAAAGGACGAGAGGAGCATTATATTTTGGTTCAAAATAAAATGGCACTCTTCTTGGGGAGCAGTTGCATATAAGGAAAATGATCTTAACAGCAATATAGGACAAAAGACTACAAAGAGAATATTGAAGAAGACTTGGGATTTGGTTTTGTGGCCTTGGATAAGTGAGAAGGATTAGATATTTAAGATATTGGTTACAGCCGGGCTCGGTGGCGCAGCCTGTAATCCCGCGCCTTTGGGAGGCTGAGGTGAGTGGATGGCCTGAGCCCGCGGGTTCGAGACCCGCCTGGGCAGCGAGACCTCATCTCTACAATAAATCAAAAAA